ATGGGTTCTACTGGGTGATTTCGGGAGCAAAAGAGGTTCCTCTTTGTACCTCGAACTATAGTTTAATAGTATAATGAGCAATTTCCGTTTGTTTTCCGAGAACGGAGTTTGCTCTCCATGAGCTGTTCTACTTCCCACGTTCCCAAGTTGCATCCTGGAATGTTATCTCTCTCTCTCCTACTTCCACCGCGTCTGATATGTGGATCAAACACTGCCGGGAATCTGCCCACAGCCGGAGAAGCCATCCATCAGCCAACACCAGGCGTGCACGCACACACACACACACACACACACACGGACATGAAGGCAGATTGATGCTTACATAGATACAGAGAGCCACAGGGTTTGAGAGAGAGAGAGAGAGGATTGTTGCTGTCATATGATGTCAAGGAGACATTCTTTCGTGGACATGGAGGACAAAAAAGGCCTGAACGGGAAGTTGGCGTGCAGCCTTACTTCATGTCCATTTTCCAAGTCACCGCCAAGTCAGCGTAAAAACAGCGATTGGTGTTTATTGGTAATCGTCTTTGTCATCAACCCGTGACCTTTTGACCCCAGTTCAGTCAGCTAAGTTACAGGTCTCTTAGTCTCTTTGCCTCGCCAACATATGATGTCATAAGCCATCAGTGTGCGGTAACTGTGAGTAGCTGTTCAGAGCTTGTTAGGGTTTAGTTGACAGGAAAACCACTGATTGGTCTGAAGGTTAAAAAAAGTCCTCAGAGAGGCAGGTGAGCAATCACAGATGGCCTAAAGTCTGGTAAACAGATGCGCAGATCAAGGTTGACATGAAGAATATGGACACGTGTTGAAGGACATCACACACACACACACATGCACACACGCATTGAAGCAGCTCTGTGCAACAGAGGGCAGCGAGCACACCTGTTCTTGATCCACTGCTGCCATTCCGTCCCACAGGCAAAGTCATCCTTTCAACCCCCCCAGAAACTAATGCACATATGCCCACTGTTCTGCAAACTGCAGCTGCTACAACTGGCCCCCTCCAATGTGTGCATGCTTGTGTCACCCTGTGTGTGCGTGTGTGTGTGTGTGTGTGTGTGTGTGTGTGCGCGCGCACACACAGAAACCTTCTCCCTCATTACTGCTCACAGTCTCGATCTAAATCTGACAGACAAAAAGGTGCAGCGCACTCTGTCCGGTGTGCAAAGAGAAGCGCACGCATTATGTAACGTGTCGGCTGTCACCAGAGGACACTGCAACACGACCCCATCTTTGACGCGCACTAGAAGTTACTGCTGGATCAAACTGTGTGTGTGTGTGTGTGTGTGTGTGTGTGTGAGAGAGAGAATGCAACACTGTTGAAAGATGTCGACACAAAGGCACTAACTCAAAGATATGTTTGTGAGCAAGTTCCAGGCAGGGAAAGACACAGAAAAAAACCTTGGGGGAGGAGAAAAATGGGAAAAATACATTATATGTGAGCCCGTGTATAAGAATGAGACACAAACACTAAGTTATGTGTGTGTGTGTGCGCATAGCACAATTGAGCAGGCATCCAGACAGGAAGAAGCAGGGCTGTGGGGAGCAGGAACAGCGGTGCTGATCAAAGCCCAAGCGGGTGACACCATGGGCGGAGTGCCATTGTTTATTCACCAGCCACCTCTCCCAATTGGCAGGGCGAGGTGAGCGTGTGTGCGTGTACGTGTGTGTGTAGATAGACAAAAGGAGTTTGAAGATACAGAGTTGGAAAGATATGGTGTGTGACAGAGACATGGCCTCTGTGTGTGTGTGTGTGTGTGTGTGTGTGTGTGGGGGGGCGGGGGTAAGTATTTGTTGTACCTTTCTCTTGGCAGGCTTAATGTGGGCCAGAGTTCTTTCAGATTTGGCAGCTGCACATTTCAGGCGCACACACACACACACACACACACGTCAAAACCCTGCATGCCCACACACTCCCACATCCTGTACTTAAATAATTCCAATAACCTCACTATTAAACTTCGCATTCTCCCTCAACCTCCCTCGTCTCATCTAAATAAAACAACAACAACAACAACTAATAAAAACATCCACAAATGGAGACACCTTACCAAGATACCACATGTTGGGGAACGGATGACATCAGGAAACCCAAACGCCGGCTGTGTCCCGATGAGCTGCACGGGCTTCTTCCACATTGGGTCTCGCCCCCCTCACCTGATGTGAATAGACGGATGAAAGCAAACACGACGCTTTCATCCGGCTTTCCACACCGGCCCGGCTCCAGTGCAATCGGCGCGGCCCGCTCCCGCCCGCCTCATTGGGAGGTAATTGGTAACCGAAATATAACCCGCCGCGCCCCCATACAGAGGTTGGCCCGGGCAGAAGGTAAAGTAAATCTGAAAAGAGCTCAGCTTCCCTTTCCTTCTCATCCAACGTGGGACTTCCTGTCACTTGTCACTTATCCAACGTGGGACTTTCCGTTTCCCGCCTGGTCCACTGGCGGCTTGTCGAGCCTCACCGCCACATTCGCCTCTCACTGAGCTCTTAGTTCAGCGCAAAGCTGCTCGGTGCCCAGCAGTGCGTCTGTCCGCTAATCCCATCGATCAGCCACTCGCACATTTAGTCTGTTTCCTATTAATAACATGAGACGGGACGGCAATGCGAGGGGTCCTCGTTCATGACAGCACACCAAAAGCACGAGAACCCCATGTAGGTGTGTGTGTACACACACACACAGAAAAAAACTTAAATGTCACACGTAAATGTCACTTATAGAAAGGATCTGAGGTAATGAGCACACTTAACTGCGCTACGTTGCTCTAAAAGAAGGGCTTTACGAGGCGCAAAAGTCTCTGCACTTAACACCCACTTTGAAGAAGTCACCGTTGCGGTGGAGCCACAGAGGAAGCTAAATTTGGGCGAAAAAAGACTCGCGCTCACAAGCAGGAGGAGGAGGAGGCGGGGGGGAGCGAGGGGAGGCACATCTGATCCGGTGCAGCACGCTTTCAGAGCAACTGTTTTGGGATTATCCCGATTCAAATGCGCGGCTAACTTTGATGTTATTTTCTTCCCCTCCCGTTGTCTGAAGCCCCTCGCTCTCCTCATAATCCGAGCCCCTTTGAAGTCAGCGCCGTGGAAACAATGTCGGCAGGCGACGCACACTTCCCCACACACCCCCCCACCTCCCCCCACCGATGGCCCTCTGACAGCTCGCCATTTCTCTCTTTCGGTTTCCTTCTCACGTCCTTCTGTCGGCCGGCTCACTCCTCCACACTTCCTCCGTCCTTCTGCTGGCTCTCTCCTCCTTTCCTCCTTTCCTCCCCTTCACCGCGTACTTCCTCCTCTCACGTTTGCACCAACTGTTTATCGGATTTTTGTATTTTTGTCTCTTTATCGGCTGTTTGACAGATCTCACCTCCCTCTCCCTTCACTGCTTCTCTTCCAGGCCTCACGTCGGCCTCTCAATAACCACGCCGACCATTAATTGCGGCCTGGTGGGTGGGTGGTTGGTTAATACAGGGGGGATCGTAATAATGAGGGCACAGATAATGGGAACAGAAAGCCTTTGTCTGCTCCCAACACTGATTCCAATGCCTGCGTGTTTTAACCAGAGGAGACAGTGTGTGTGTGTGTTTGTGTGTGTACGTTTGTCTATATTGTGTGCAGTTAGACAATAGGCAACAGAGCACCAACACAAGCAAATGACACAACACAACATAATGACAAATTGTGGCTTGTGCATCAAAGGGTCGCACATGTCACTGGGTTCGTTTGGACCGGGCCGGGAGGGGGTGGGGGGAGGATGGGGGGGGGGGGGAAATGAGGAATTGTTGCCTCTTTGTTCTGGTCTTGTTCCTGTTTACAGTGACTTCTACAAACAAACCGAGAGGAGTAAACAAGCAGCTCGTTGACGGGACAGTTTTCAGGGCCGTCATCGGGATCTGAGCGCAGAAATCACACAGCGGTGACTGACATACAGCGGATAGAACAAGCGTTTGATACACTGCAGATTTTGCAGGATGTGGGAGAGCAAAATATGTATATTTTTTGTTTTAGTTTGTGTCACACACAGTTGGAGAGTACCTATGATAAAAATGAAAGACTCCCACATATTAACATCTATATCCATCGATGCGCTGGCAAACCTTTTTACAGGATTTCTTTTCTTCCAATAAACTGCTGATGACTGAATATTGGTAGTGGTTTCTCAGGTAGAAAAAAAGGAACGGAACTTACTGAATTTTTTATCCAAATCTGAACACACACAACAAGTGTTTTGCATACAATATCAATGTGGACCACAGAAACATCATTCCGCTATGGGCAGCGACACACATCAGGCAGACAAGGTCCATTTCAGGTCGGGGCTCATATAGCCCAGCGGATATTTAGGCAATAGCGCTGGAATACCACGGCCTGGAAGGAGAGGAGATCTAAAAAGAGAGGCTCGCAGATCTGCCTCCTTACTACACGGCGAAGCCGCAAACCACAGACAGACAACGCTGTGTTTGGAAACACCTCCCGACTCCAGACACAACAACTCTTTATTTAGCGAGCCGCACCCAATCAACTGCCACCGCGTCCCGGCCAAACATAAGACCCTGGGAGTCTAAACGGAGAAATCTGCCCGGACAGGGACGGAGATAGGGGGAAAGAACGGGGTAAGAATGAACTAAATATAACTTTTTCCGAAGGTTGAAACCCAGTTTGCATCGAAATCAGGAAAGGGCTTTAAAGGGGAAAAAAAAGGTGGAAAAGGAAGTTGAACTGTGAAAGAGAAGCGGTAATGACACAGAGAGAAAAGAGAAATGGGGGACATCTTGAAGACTGACCAATCTCCTCCATTACTGTCGCGTTGGTGTATTTATATGTTAAGTGAAAATTATATTTCCTAAATGTGTCATTATTTCCTTCATCCTATGGTTGCTATTTATTGGCTCTGCTGGAAAGGTAACAGACTAAGAAACATAACCTGACCTACTGATGATTGTATTTTGGTTTCTCGACGTAGATCCAGTGTGACGGAGCGCTTGGCCTCCTCGGTGCCCGGCACTGACCTTGTTGGCCCGGTCGGCGTGCTGGATTATTGTCCTCCTCTCCTCCTCCCATTGAAGGCTGGACTCCTTCAGCTGCTTCTCCAGGGCCTGCTGCAGGCCGACAGCCTCCTCCTTTGAGTCACATACGGACGTCTGTAGCTGCGCAATCAGCTAAAAGGTCAGAAGAGGAAGGTCAGGAAACTTTTTTTCATTTTAACGTATAATTGGTCGCAGATTAACAGGAAATATGCAGATGAATTGACACACGGCCGAATGGCCTTTCTACTCTTAAGGAACAAAGAACCAAGGGGACCAAGTAAGGACTTTGTTCTGGTCACCTGGACCCTGGACTGTGCATCGTGTGAATATACTGTATGCAACATAAAACAAAAAGTACAGAGAAAACATGCTCACTAATCAGAGGCTGATTAGCTTAATTTCTCTGGACCCGCTTGCATCAGATGGAAAAATGCTTTTCCCATTCGTCATGGAAATGGATGGAAACAAGTCTCATGACTTGACAGAGAAAGACAGAAGAAAAGAAGGGAGGGGGAGATAAAAAAGGACCAGACAGGAAGGGAAAAACAACTTCCTCTTTGAGGAGCGCAGTGACTTTGTGTTGGTGAACTTGCGGTGCGCACCGAGATGAAAAGGAACTGCCTCGGCTTTGAAATCCTCCAGTCCAAATTAACATTCTATTTAAGCCACTGTCAGGGAAAGGCAGAGCAAAGATGAGAGAAAGTAAAAGAGAATGGGAGAGAGGGGGGGGAGGGTGGGAGGGGGCAGTGCCGCTGCTAGCTTTAGGCTAGACAGATAATTGTTTACCGTGTTTCAAACTCTGGAGGACCAACCCTGCTGGAATCTGCACTTTGTGTGTGGGAGTTAAAGTGGAGCGGGTCGACCACAGATAGAGAGAGACGGGGAAGAGGGGGGGGGGTGATGGGTGGGGGAGATGAGAGAGAGATTAGGCTTATTTTGTCAGTGGGAAAGCCACATGAAAGTCCCAAATGACACATGATTATGGGAACACCATTTCTGGGCGTGATAATTATTGCACTATATGGATTCCCTACATCTCGGCCCCAGGCGGGGGAGCGGCCCTCGAAACCAGTGAACTCCACTGCCTGTCTTGTTATTCCGGTCCACAAACACACCACAGCACCTTTATGCGTCTGGTAGCCAGCCAGGCCTTTTTAAGTCTGTAATTGGGCTGATGAGTCTTTTTTTCAGGGCCTACTGGCATCTCTGGCTCGGGCTAAAGGAAGGTTTACCTCCCCGTGAACCAGTAAAGTGAAAAAAGGGGAGGGAACAGAGCGGGTCTGGTGTTTGTACACACTAAGTGGAAAAAACAAATAGAATTCAACGATGGCGGACATCATGTAAGATGAAAAGGAAACGTGGAAATACCGGATACTCATTAGGTTATTGATGGAAAACAATTCTGAAGCTGGTTTGGGCTGATTATTTAGGAAATGAATAATCAATAAAATAATAGTCACAGCTTTGAATCACTTATTGTACACCAAGACAAGAAAATTATTACACAGCTTGCTCAAAGTCATGGGGGGCTTTGTGTTTTCAATCTGAAACAGCACAGCAAACTACAAACTCTTAGTCAAAGGTGCTTTAGTATATTTTTAGGCCCAGTTAGAGCAACATTCGCATTCATCTAGTCCAGGAAACAAGCGCTGTTGTGCTCTAACAACGTCCTCTGAGGGAAAATGTTTTAAAACAGTGTCCTGCAACGTCCGCGCTGAGAGTCGACAAAAGCACTCAACTTGTTGGCCGTTAAACCCGAAACAAGGCGCTTGATGGACAGTAAAACTCACCGTACCGCCGAGGATAGCCGCCGAGTGTCGGGGTGACCACTCTCCGTGGGTTCATCACTCCGCGTTGGAATGAATACCGAGACACGTCCTCTCCCGCGAATGTACAAGGTCACGTGTGTGAAACGTAACGTGCTGAAATAAATGAGCCGTATAAAGGAGCTGCACCTTCAGGTGAACCTCCGCCTCTCTTTCCCAGAACAAGATACTTCCTCGTGCACCAGTAATGATCTCCCATCAGTACCGCAGTTACCACCCACTGCAATGCTGATTGCGAAGGGAGGAGGGTTGGGGGGGGGGGGGCGGAAAGAGAGCACCGCCCCCTACTCAGTTCACAGGTCACCTTAAGAGGACCACTCAAAGCGAGAGATGCTTAACACATGGGATTGGAAAAGGACTAATTGGGAGTCTGTGTATGTGTGTGTGTGCCGGTCAATGAGAAATACAGGAAAACCCAAAGAAAGCAAAGTCGTGGCCTGCGAGAGGAAAGGATGCGCGTGTGCATCCGTGAATGCCCCACACGCGCCGCCCCTCCAGGCCCCTCAGGACGACGTATGGCGCGGCGTGTTCTGGGAAGGAGAGGCGGAAGAAAAAAAAAAACACCCTCAACCCACCTGAAGAAACTACAGGCCGGTCTCTCTTCTTCCCTTTTTGTCAAAAACTCTTTATCTTTAACCAACTCTCCTCCTATCGCCACCGTAACAACCTCCTTGACCCCCACCAGTGAGGCTTCAAAGCAGTTGAAGCCTCACTTCCTTCAGAGCCTTCTAGTCCTCATCCTTCTGGACCTTTCTGATGCATTTGACACAGTAAACCACCAGATCCTTATTGCCTCCCGTCAGGAACTTGGTGTCTCAGGCTCTGCTCCCTTCTCTCATCCTACCTCGATGGCCGCACCTATCGGGTAACCTGGAGAGGATCTGTGTCGGAATATTGTCCTCTAACTACAGGAGTTCCTCAGGGTACTTTCCTGGGTCCCCTCCTCTTCTCTCTCTACACCAACTCTCTCGGCTCTATCATTCGCTCGCAAGGCTTCTCCTACCAAACCGACGAATTCTAATTCTCTCCTTCCCACACTCAGACACGGAGGTGGCGACACGGATCTCTGCCTGTCTGACTGACATCTCTGAGTGGATGTTTGCTCACCATCTGAAAATCAACCCTGACAAGACTGAACTACTTCTTTCTGGGAAATGATTCTCCTACACAGGACCTGACTGCTAACTTTGGCAACGCCCACTTTGACTGCCAGGAACCTCGGTGTGACACTTGACAGCAAACTCTCCCTGACCCCCAACATTACAGCAACAGAATGATCCTGTAGATACGCGCTCTACAACATCAGGAGAATCGGTCCCCTTCTCACTCAGAAGGCGGTGCAGGTACTGATTCAGGCTCTTGCTTTGCATTGACTATTGTAACTATTGACATACTGACTACTGTAACTATTGTAAATTGGGTTATTAGCTGTTAAGCCTGAGAGCGATGCCCCACTGTAAGACTCTACCGTGACTAGAAAGACTAACAAATTGTAGCACTTAAATTGTACTTATAATGGCTCTTATCTATAGCAAGTTGTAAATCTGCATTTAATGAAATTGCACTTTCTCGTTTCCTGTTTTTTTGAGTCTGTATCCTTATGGTTGAAATGCACTTATTGTAAGTCGACTTTGGATAAAAGCGTCAGCTAAATGACATGTAATGTAATATAACGTCAAATTGAGTTATTAGCCGTTGAGCCTGAGAGCGATGCCCCCCCCCCCCCCCCCCCCCCGTCAGACGCCGAGGGGTTAACCACTGGGGTTGGCCCGTCAGGTTCAAAGGCCTCTTGTTTACATTTGACCCGAGTTGCCCCCCAAATGGGCTGAACGCCCCCCCTCCACTCCCCCAACTTTAACTTCTAAAAACAAAGCCCACTACTACTACAAAAAGCCAGCATTAATCCCGTATATTAAAACATTTGCATGAAAAAACTGGTAAATAAAATAAAAAGGCCTTGAAGGAGGTGTTGCATTCTGCGCACACGGTGGCTTTGCTGCCACGTTTTGTTGAGACACTCCGTGTCCCCAAAACAGAAGGATTAATCACTTGTTTCCTCCTCTGCCAAAGCGGCGCAAACACGGCTGAACCTTCGCACAGCATCAGACTCCTTTTGAAGTCGGGCATTGTGTAACCTAATAAGCTACTGTTCCCTCACAACATCTGCTTGTCAACCCGGCTTTCAACCCTAGGCCTTTGCCAGCCAACCCCTGAAAATGGGGGCGGAGGGGGGGGAGAAGAAGAAAGAAAGAAAAACAAAAATTACCTCTTTGGGTAACGAGGTGCAATTATGGCCAAATGATTGTGATATTCTACCCTGCTACATAATCAAGGAAAAAAAACTTTTTTTTTTGTAATGTAAACACTACTTTGGGGCCTTTCGGGACCTTTTTAAACCGGTGAGGTAAGCGCTGCCGGAACCCTTCGGAGGGGTTTTGCTCAATCAGCGGTCCTGCTGCGGTTATGTCCCTGGGTTAAGAGGAACCGGCTCCGTTGTTAAACGGAATCGGTCCGAGGGGACAAGCGGTAAGGGGAAGGTCCCCGGCCCAGGAGGATGGAGGGGAGGAGGCTACAGACGGATGCAACAGTGCAAAAGTGAAATATGATCAGGGACTTGCAGACGTGGTGGCTCCCACTCTTAACGGCTGCGGAGGATGGAAGACAGAACAGGAACAGGAAAGAGAAAAGGCAGACGCTGGAGCGTTGGATATCCTCTATGTGACACTATACGACTTATTTATCCGAACTCTGCACGAACCTCATGCCAGATACGGGACGTACGTGCACATCTGCTTAAGTATAAAGGGCAGTGGAGGGGGGCGCGCTGTGTGTTTGAGAGAGTGTGTGTGTGTGTGTTTCCTTATGAGCTTCCTCACCTCTCCCATCAGTGCATTTGTCCAGCCTTTCAAGTAGTTCAGTGGAATATAAAATGAAAAAAAAGGAGGGAAACTGGGGGGGTAGAAGAGAAAACTGATTACCTGTGCAGACTTGGCGAGCTTCTGAGCGTACTCTCTCTCAATCTGCTTCAACCGGCTGTTGCTCTGCAACAGGAAGGAGAGGGGAGTGAGCGAGAGAGATATCCAGACGGGCCGATAGAGAGAGACACACACACACACACACACATATTCACACAGAGAGAGAGAGTTGTGAAATGTAATCTTCTGTTAGGATGTAGACACACAACCCTGCCACCCTACCTGTGCTCACACACACACACACACACACACGTTGACCTTTGCTTCTTGGCAGTGTTTTGCCCGCCCCCCCCCTCCCTTGGCACAAGCCCCATCCCAACGCTCATGTGTGCCAGCAGGCAGTGACGGGCACGGGGTAAAGCGGGTACCCCTCCCCTGATGGTCTGCCAACAATTCATCACCTAACAAAGGGAGGGGGTGGGGGGGTTTGGGGGGGCAAAACATTAATACATTACTGCCAATTAGCGGGTGGGTTAATTGGGAGGAGCTGTGGAGACACAAGGCCGCGTAGTTACCATTTCATTGAGTGGCTCTTTGTGTTTTTTCTTTACCCCCGGAGTCCGTTTGTGGGAGGCCAAAACGGGGGCGCGGGGGGGGGGGGGCGGCGGTGGGTTACAAGGTGTGAAGTGATTGAATTCGATGGGGATGTCAATGGCTGCCTGTTTATGTACAGTGACGAGTGCGAGGCAATTTAAGACACGCAGATAAAAGGAGTCATACAGAAAAACGTACATACGCACACCCATGAGACACACACACACGCTTGCTTACGATTTATTTTACCCATAAACCCACATTGGCTTGAAAGACATGTGATTTCTTTAGTTCTAAAGAGGATGAGACTTCAAATGTGTCTCTGTGGTGAACATGTTCACATCAGAAGGTAAATATCAGCGTCATCCTTGTAATTGGCTGTGAGGGAACGAGGTGTGTGTGTGTGTGTGTGTGTGCGCGACTCTCCGTATCGTATGACACACGTGACAGTATTCATGGAAAACATGTGGCCGTATTGACACGCAAACTGCCTCTGATGTTTCATAAAAACATGAAGAGCTTGCTGCTCGTGGATTCTTTCTACCTACAGTCACTCGGGGGAATTTAGCGGGAAGCTTTACACAGCATCATACATTATACAGCTCAGCCATCTCAGCACACATTAAAAGTCTGGGAATAGACAAAGATACGGATTGTACATGCAAGAAAAATAACCCGATAGGACTGTGACAAATACAAAGGGAAAATCAGAGCTAAATTAAAAGCTGCGTGTGTGCGTCTGTGTGTGTAGGCGCTTTCAAAGAGACTACCTGTGCCCTGCCAAAGGCATTTTGGTGCTGAAGGCACTTTGAGGCTCTATCAGGCTCTTCAATCGCCTCTTAATCCTAGCTGTGTGGAGTGCGGCTGCTTTGAAGTGTGTGCGCGTGTGTGTCTTTGTGCGCGTGTGAGGGTACTTGTGTGCGCGTTAAAGAGAGTGGAAGTGCATCTGAAGGCGAGGCATGCGCCGCTTACCAGAACTTAATTAACAATCTGCAGTGGGAACCAGGCAACACACACACACACACGCACGCACACTTAAGAAAGGACTGATGGGAGTGGCAGAATACGGATGACAACTTTCCCTTTCTTTCTCGCTCTCTCTCTCACACACACACACACACACACACACACGCACACTTAAAGATGTAGACACAAGCCACGCTTGTTCAAACACAGACAATGGACCAACAGGACACACGTAGGCCAAACACACATCCCGCGTTTGATCCTTGGCTTTTGGGAAGTGAAGTTTGCTCAAGGTGTGCAACGGGTCCCATTAGCCGGAACGGACCATTGTGTTGTTGCGGAAGAAGGAAGAAAATAGAGTAAACGTTCCTCTATGGAGTAACCCTGCCAACGCCGCACGCTGTGTGTAAGAAGTGGACCCATTGGTTCCTGCACCCATCTTGTTATTTTGAGAAAATATGTAATGACTTAAAACGTTAATAAATAACTTTACTAACTTTCCGAAATGGACTCGGTGAAAGGCTTCAAGCTGTAAGTCACGAAAACAGGATGGCCGACCAGCCTTCGTTGTCGCTGTCGTAGCCACCTGTCAATCAGAAGGTAGCCACGCCCTAAAGCTTACCCGCTTTAAGGTCCATTTCAGTGGTGGCTGGTGGATTTTTTATTTTTTGGTAGGGCCAGCCAATCAGTTTCAGTAGACATCCCAGTATATATGGGGCGGCAAAGGGCTATGCCCAAATCTCATATTAATCTAATCTAATATTACCGTGTATAGAATTCGGGTTGCCACCCAACCCCTAAAATACGGAATCGTCCGGTATTTGAGAATAAAATAGTGTGTCCCGTTTTGAATCAATACGGAACGGGGTTTGTCCTGTATTTTCCGAGTTGTCGTCAATGCAGCATCCCATGCAAATAATCCCACCCGAAATCTGTGAAGCCACTCCCCCCCATCCCCCGGCCGTCTTAGCGTCCCTTATTTTTCTGCAATGAAGGTGGCACCCCTATATATAAACCATGTTTCAGAAACTCAAATATTGACCATTTGTAAAATGTATGTATATAATAAACAAATGTTGTCCCCTATCGCTCATGGTGCAGCCACGTCCCATTGCCCTCTATGGACCAGCCGCCACTGGTCTATTTTAAATTCTGTTTAAAAAAAAAAACAGGTCTGTTTTTGATTCGAAAAACTCCACATTTTACCAAATGAAATCATGCTGTATTGAGGACCTGACACCATCGCCAGGGACCATTAACTCTTGCCTACGATGTTTACTGAGGTAATAAATCAAGTAATGGAAGATGGATCATTTCCCCATAGCCTTCTATACAAATCAGCACAACTGCTGGCTTTTATAAAACTGAAGGCACTTCTGCATCGGCTCCACTTTTCAGACCTGGAAGTGTCCGCCTGGCCAACACGTGATAACTGCGTGTGTTAAAGTCAGAGCGCCTGTTCTCCAGGACTTTCACAATCTGTTCAGGGGCCGCCCGTGGTCCCGGGCCAGGATATTGCCTCCATATGGCATTTTTCCTCTGAGACGTTTCCCTTCACCACGCGGAGCTGTAATAAAACACAGGGATGTTTTTAACAGAGACGCTCTCTTTTAAATGGTTGTTGATCGTTTTTTATTCCGCCGTGTTTTCGCACACCGGAGGAACTGATTTGTTGGGCTCATTTTTCAAGAAAGAAAGAAAAATAACATGATTTCTAAGAGAATCTCTCATTTTGAGTGGCAGCGGTATTTGTATGCATTCAAAACGGTCCTCTGTTCACTCGGCGTGTCTTTCACAACAATTTGAGTTCAATCTGCCAGCGAGGGAGAGCGGGGAGATGTTATTTGCTCGTTTGTCTGTAATCATTGCCGTCTTGCTGTGCTATGCCTTTGTGTCTGTGAGAGCTGGTGCTGTAGTGACAAGAGACTTTATTTCCATTTCACAGTTTGCCATCGCTGCCTGTCAGTAGTGATTCTAATAATCCGCCGCTGCTCGCTGTCACCCGGCGGTACAGAAAGACGGCATCACAAGCAGGATGAACACACGACAGATACGCAACGCGCCAAATAAGTCACTCGGCTAAAGGCCGAAGTATCAGACCACCAGTGACCCGCATTACCATCCGCTCCATCCAAACCCACGCGAGAAGGTCATGGGGAGGGGTTGGTCTGAGGCTGTGAACGCCTCCTGGGCAGTGCCCCCCCTTCCTTAAAACCACGGATGTTCTGTGTACAGTTTTACGGTCAAAGGTACCTTAAGACAACTGTTAGAGATGTCAACTTATTTTTTTTGTGATGAGATTCTGTCCTTCAGGTCCCTTCCTGCCCGTTTGTGCTTTGATCAGCAAGTCTGCCTGATGTTCAGATGTGGGATGAATCAAGAGTTGAATTAGGAACTCAACCCAAAAAAACAGAGCCCCCGAAATCACGGTGTCCCACTTAAAACTCCACTTCAAACCAAAGTGTAATCTATAGCGTGCAACAGATGGGAGCTGCTTGACGCATGTTTTAATGCGATGAAAAAGTGTGTCGCTTCCTCCCTCCTCTAGAGACTCAAAGTGAGCAGGGGACTGGGTGATGTTTTTTTTTTGGGGGGGGAAGGCAAAGCCTTTACTTTGCCACTTTCATCTGCTGGGTCTCTCCCCCCCCCACCCCCCGCGGGCCCAATGGTGCACTGAGGAAACGAGCAGCTCAGATAGGCCTGCGCACACGCACACAAACAAACAACTTATGTTCACACACCAATGCTTTGGTTTTAGCTAAAGCAGCAGCTGTGATGTAAACACGCGCCGACCGCAGAACCAATAATCCGAATGCCTCGCACGCAACGGCCCTAAACTTTACATCTTTTTCCCGTAAACTCAGATCCCCCCCCCCCCCCCCACCACCCCCACACGTCTTTGTCTCCCATTTACTCTGTTAGTGCGAGGTGAATGCAGACCCTCTTTGATCATCCCTCTCTGTGTTTCTCTTCTCGTCTAATCCATGACCGACTGCATAAGGGGATTTGGTGTCTCTCCAAATGGCGGTGAAACCACCCTAATAACAGTGGGCAGGAGAGAGGCAAGATGTGGCCATGACAACAGCAGTGACGACAACCTCGTACCACCATCTCCTGGCTGAGATGGAGAACGGTACACAGAGAGAGCGCCAACGCTCGCGTAGGATGGTTTATGAAAATGTTGGAGCGCTGATTTAAAATCCCTGATTGGACTTTTTGCACTCAGAGTTTAGTGTTCAGACTAAGATCCTTTTAGGGGGACTTGCAGTTTACTGTATCATCACTGCATGTGGACAGTCTCCTTTGGTCGATGATGAAAGCCAGCATAAAAGGTGGCTGGTGTCGCCCTGAATAAGAGCAGAGATGCAGGAGAACAAAAGGTACAGAGTGACCAAAATCTGCACCGCGCTCGGTAAAAAGTTGGAAAATCAGAGTGAATGTTTTGCATTAAAAAAGAACCTTGGGTGGTCTGTTTATAAGTGCACAGTTCTAACTGTGCACAATAATGCAACCAGAACACATCGAGGGCACATTAAGATCCCATCAGTCAAACGCTATTTAGATATGGTCAGGTCCAATAGTGTGAAAGCAGATGGATCTCTGGCCACATGAAAAGACGGCCTACTCAGCGCTGTGCATGGAACAACATACACGAGGTATAAACACACAAATTCTCCTCCGCCAAAGAACTCAAATGAGGGTTGCAGTCTGTGCCGAGGTGCCAAACTGCAATCCTCCGCTCCAGCCGCATCGCCGATCACAAACACGTCGTGTTTATCATCAGCAGCAGTTTATCACAGCAGAAATCTGCTCACACCTCAGATATGCTCCCCGCCGCAACTGAAGCCAGACGCAGAGAGAACCAAACCAAGTCGAACGTTTCCCAAAAAAAACACGTCCGATCAGATTTGTCGACAGCGAACTAGCGGCTTTGATGTGGTGGAAGTGCATTTACTGAGTGCAGTCGATTTTGTGGTTGATTTGTGCTTAGTAGAAACAGTTTGTGGCCAAATGGCACCAAAGAGCTTCAGCACCTGCCGCACCACTGGCTGTCAAACCAGCTGTGTGGTCTGAAATATCGTGGACGCACACATAAGGAAGCTCCAGCTCCTTCCTGCAGCAAAGTTAATTACCTGAGGGGGGGGGGGGTCTACTTGTGAAACAGAGGCCTTCATTCCTCCGCTTTCTAATTCTCCACCTGTTTGCGACTGCGTGTCAGAGTGACAACGTCTCGTGGGACGCGCCCAGAGGTACACCGCCGCTGTGACACAGGGGGCTTGGAAAGGGCGGCTGTGTGTCAACAAGCTGCACTCTCATTGGCTGATGTTTGCCTGCGGGTGGTTTCGTCACACTCCGCTACCATTTGATTAAATTCCCCGTCGCTTTGATCTGAAGTGAAAGTAGGGGATGCATTTATACAAACACGCACACACTCTCATGGGCACACATACACACAAGTATATCAGGCTAAAATGTGCACATCTAATCTCCGTTATTCATTTCCTAGCAAACCTGCGGCCTCGTGAGCTTTTGTCTCACCGTATCTCAGACCTCTAGTATCGGCAAGCAGGGAGTGAGTGCCAATATAAAGACCTTTTCTCCTTGAACCAAACTGCCTTTGAAGCACTAATTGCAAATATCACCTGTGTTTTTATATACCATGCATCAGTGTCTGTGTGTGTGTGTGTGTGTGTGTGCACACAGCCATGTATGTGTGGCAAGGAACACGATTCCCTTCTTCAAAGCCCAGCCTGGATTTCTGGAACTCTTTATTCAAAGTCTGAATGTTCTGTGCCACGACTTGAAGGCGCAGGGGGAGGATGGTGGTGGAAGATGGGGAGAGATGGACGAGTTGAGGTGGGAAAAGAAAAAGGCAAAAAAAAAAAAAAAGAAGGCTAGATAAGGAGGTGGTGCAGGTGAGAGGCAGGATCCGTGCTCACTGGGGCCCCAGATATGAAGCGTGTTCATCAGGCACACGGGCAGCTTCACAGGCCCCTCGGTGGAGAATGGAGATTGGGAGGTTTGTGGAGGTGTGCGCTAATTCTCATCCACAAACATGCGCCCCCCCCCACACACACACACACACACTTAGAAAGATATCCTTCAATACCAACCAGACTAAAAAACTCACACCTTCTACTCAGCCTACCTCCTCCGTCTCTGCTCCTTTCTCTTTGGGTGCCGCTCAAATGTTTGTAATCTGTTCATTTGAACTCTGATATTTTGCCTCTCATTATTTCATTCCAACAGCCTTGACTGTCTACTCCCCAAAAACTCATCCCATCCCCCTGTGTCCCTCTCTCCCGCTGCCTTGAACGCACACGTCTTTGATGGGAATCCATTCAAGGATTTAATGGATTTCTCCAGACTTTTTTTTCCAGGATCTGGGAGATGTGTTGGAAAAAATCAAAAAGTAAAAGGGAAGAAACGCTAGCCTTCCCGGGCTCTGCTTCCAAGAGGACGGTGGGCTGCAGAGGACAGCATTTCTGTCTACATCAAAAGAATGAGAAATTTTCAGCTTACAAAAAAAAAAAGGGCGAATGAGTCAATATGGATCTGAGAGCTGGCGGACTTCAATCCATCGTGAAAAAAGCAGGCCGCTGCAAAGTGATGAAACTTTTCCCTGCCCGCCCCGAAAGTCAAACTCTGACGGATTAGAAAGTAGAAAAAATGTCATGACGGTCAACCTTTCGTACGTGAAAAAAAGAAAGCACAGAGAAATCATGATTCTCTTCCATAAAAAGTGAGCACAGCACATTGCTTATGCTGTCCGTCCAAGTTGAACATTAAGCATCGCTGCTTTGAATCCACTCCAGATTCCCCCCAAAACTATGGGTGATTTTTTCCTTCCCCCAAGGGAAGAGAGAGGGAGAGAGAGAGAGAGAGAGAGAGGGGACTTAAAGAGAGCCAAGAAGATCAATAACTTTTTCGCTGCAAAACAGCCTTCACGTATCCAAAAAGGGGAAAAAATGTGAGTGATAGGAAATAGCGTGATTCCTTCAAACGAGGATTAGCCTGCGTTAAGCACACTGCTCCCCTCGGATCTCCCTCCCTGCACCACCCCCGGGTTCTGCGTGCCATATGGAGCCAAAATGGCCGCCCGGGTGCTCTGGAGGTCCCTGCATTCCGGGGGTAATAGCGTGCAGCTGGCGTGGGATGGTGTCTAATGAAAAAGGCTCTCTTTGATGGGACCTGCCGAGGGATTAGGTTCTGATCAACCACCTTAGGTCGGCTTCCTGCTAGACCAGCGCGAGCTTATGAGTGATTTCCCAGTCGCGGGTCCAGTTTCTGTGGCGGCGACGGGCGCGAATATGAGACAGAAAGGTGCGCGAGACAGAAAGGGAAACCTCAGACATTCTAATTGAAGTACTTCCTGTTTCCCTAAGACAGCTGTAAGCAAATCCTGATGTCCTGAGCCTCCATTGTTTCACCGATCCCTAGATCCAATCCCCTAACTGGCCTGCACGTGTCAAAAAAAGGTATATCCCATCATTGCGAGAAGTGAAAAACCAAAAGATCCAGTAGACGTGGTGTCGACGCGGCCAGCAGCATCGCCTGACTTGACCTCCTGTTTGAGGCTCTAATGCGGTGAACACAGTGGTGAAGTCCCGAGCGAGCCTTCCTCCTCAAACCTGCCCATCTTGCAAGGTGGCTTGTAGTCGTGGGCGATAGGAGACAAATAAAAGTAGTCCCGGGCAGACGCGTTCGGTTCACCCTGTTGACCTTGATAAAAAGGAACAACAAGGCGAATACAAAATTGTTGATGTGTCCTCATGCAAACGTCTAAAACAGAGCGTGGGTGATCCGAGGAAGAAAATGTTGATTTGCTAAAGCAATGGAAGGAATGGCGCTCGAATGAAGGTGGCCTCTTTCATGTAACCTTTGTTCAAACAGGCGTTCCCTCCTTCACCCACCTTCTCCTGAGCAGCATCCCTCTCCTGCCGGTGGCTTTCCTCGAGGTCGGCGCGGACGCGCTGCATGTCGGAACGCAGCCGGTCCAGGGACGCCTCTTTGTCCAGGAACGCCGTCCGTTTTTCCTCCTCCCGGAATAACGCCACCTCGGCCAATTGTCGCTTGTGCTGCGCCTGGGCGTCTTGGAGTTCATCGCGAAGACCGGACAACTGAGCCTCCAGATCGGATATCGTCTGGAATGAGAGGGATACGGAGACGTGCGGGCGGTTAGGGAAGTTATGTCGATCAATGTCCTGCAGGTACCGTGCAGGATAGTGAGTGAAGATTGCGTATCCCAGTTGACAGGAGAGATACTGTCTCAGGAGGGATAGAGACATTTCTTGTTTTATGATGTAGGCTACCATGATCCTTTTGGCTGAAGTGAAACGTGCTTAAGGGTTATTATGTATCCCTCCAGATGGATTTATGTCTAAATATCTTTATTCGATATACCAAATAAGACGATATAACAAAGCACCCCCCTGTATTCTTTAAGCGTTTCTGTCTCAACTAAAGTCTGGCTGGAACGTCCTCGGAATATGTGATGGATGAAAAAGAGGCATAATCTGTGTCCTTTAGGGTAAAAATATAAAAACAAATCAACAATGACAAATACACAAATACAAATACACCTTGACTAAGTGACGGAAAGTCTCTCCAACATGCCTCCATTTTTTTGTCCTCCTGTGTGTGCGTATGGGCTGCTGCGATGGAACGACCCCTCTCTTGACCTCCCTTCTCCGCCCCGACTTTACCCAAAAGAGCCTTTTATCAGTGCTGACACGCAGCGTCAACATTACAAAGTACAAATGGTAAAAAGCCCCACAGCCTCAGAAAGCCCAGAAATGAGACACGCTCATTGAACTTACATGGAAAAAAGGCAAAGAAACGGAGAGAATAAGCGGTTTAGACAAACTGAACCAGTTAGCTGCTATGTTGCAGACCGTTTACAGCCTCACTACTGAACAGAAGGTAAATTTCACACCATTGTAAACTTCAGGCTTCATTATAAGGACACACGTTTGTGTCATATTTGCAGATGTCCACTGCCCTCAAACAGTTATTGGTACAACATGATCGTTCTCTAAACAACAGCGATCAACAATGACGACGGCATCGGCCTCTGCTGTGTTTCACCTTTCCCTGACCCGAATAGCACATGTTCCCCAGCTACTGCACATTGTCATTACTCTTCTTTGTTTACTTCTTTTATATCTTACTAGGGGTTCACACTATATCCTTTACCCCCCACCCCCCTCCAAAAAAGCCTGGGGCATCCAAGGACAACGCCACGTTAGGGCAACAAGTCTTTTTTAGGGAGAATCAAAGAGACTTCAAAAGGAGTGTCACAAAAACAGGCAGATGCTGCGGCTCCGTGTGCGCCAGCGTTGGCGAGACTGTAACACACGAACTATAAACAGCCCCACATGGCCGAGCTGTCACACACACACACACACACAGACACAGACACACACACACACACACACACACACACACACACACACAAACGAGGGCATGCAGCTCATTCGGAGAGAATATGAGGCAAACTCAGGCAATCTTCCATCTCCGCGTCCCGGCCCTCCGTCTCTCGGCATTACCCGTCTCCCGGCTGCGCTCGTGTCTTCAAGAAAGAGCAGCAACCGGATCTGAGCTCCGGCAGCGTCTTTAATGTATAAATCTCTCTTTAACAAATGAGGAATATCGGTTTAGCGTGTAATCGCGGAACACCGGCACTGGCGATGACACTCGAGGCCGAAGGAGCGCGCCTTCTTTGGCGGGCACGCGGGCGCTGCCACGTCCAACGGGACGCATGTCGGCATGCGGCCGACGGCGATGGACGAGATTTCTTCATCCTAGATATTCGTCATCCTAAAATATAGTGAGAAACACAAGTTAAAAACCCTAGAAATTGTAACAACACTTATGATTGTGACTTACTGGAAGGCCACCACCTCCATTATACAGAGTTTATACAAAGTAGCACATTGTCTTGAATGTCCTTCCAGTAAGTCACAATCATAAGCACACCCTGGCTGTCCATAAAGGGTGCAGCCTTTATGGACAGCCAGGGTGTGCCTATAATTAAACTGGACTCCTTGAGTTTTTCTAACTTTGCTTGACTGCAAGTACAACAAAGCTGCCCGTCCTATCACCACAATGTGCCATCTTCCATTCCAGGAGTCATTATTCCACTGGTTTGCTAATTTTGGATTACCGCCAGACATTAACGATGTCACACAATAAGAGCAAAGCGACTTGTTTTCCCGTTTAAAAAGAAAAAACGCATTGCATGGACTTGATATAACTAAGAACAGGCGGGACATCTTTCTCACGGCGGATTTTATGACTTGGCAAACCCCGGCGCTACTAATGACATTCAGAATAGCTGCACTCCATCTCGGCCTGTCAGTGCCAGGGCCTGCTATTGTGCATGTTGGCTCACAGGCACTCCAACATGGAGCGGGCCCAATAATCGTATTACAGTCGGTGCACATGTGCCATTTGTGCGGTGACAGTTTTGACGAGAATCTAGTTTGCATTAGCACGACAAGTGGAAAACTTTTAGCTTAAACTTTGCGGACCTATGCTATGAACCTAACTTAGGCCTAGACTTTTTCCAACTATGACAAGTTTGGAATCTTCTGGGAAATACTGTTATTTACCTTTCACAGATAGCTGGATGATGCCACTCTCCTGTCTGCGCAGTAACCATGGAGCAAAGTTTGTGTGTGGATTAAATAAACAACTTTCAGCACAGTAGCTGGTGAGCTTTAGAGGCTGTCAACATATTTATGAGCCACAAGAGCCATTTCTCCTCCATGTCTTTATGCTAAGCTAAGCTAATTGACAGCAGCATCAGGCTCCACAGTTAATGCACAGATGTAGTGACATCAGAGAGGAAAAGGAAAATACAATAATAACCCAGAACACATTTTTTCACCATCATTATCTGCTCATAAAACATTTTTTTTGTCGGGACAGTCAAACTCACACCCAACAGGAATACTCAGCACTGCACACGGGGAAGATGATGAAATGATTATAAGCCGGTGACAACACGGCTCTGTGGGATCCGCTGTTGGAAAATCATTGAGCAACGAGACCAGATCCGCCTGACGATGCCAGACTGCAGGGACACCGGGATCACTCGGTGACGCGAAGAGACAACCAACGTGCGCACACACACACACGAGTGCTGTCGGCCTCGTTTGCTTCATCTGACTTCCTCTTAGCTCGGCTTAACTCAGTCTGTCATCACCCTCTTCATTTGACACGTCTTAAATCACGTTCTTTGAACAATCGGCATCGTCATTATTTAGCCCACTGTGGCCCGGGAGAAAGACCTCACTAGACTCTCGCTCTCCTATGCTGTTTGAGGTCCAGATGGCGCGTTGCGTTCCTTTGAAAGAACACAAATAATTAGTTAGGAAAATATTACCTCGCTTTCAGGGGGAGCCGGTGGGAGAAATATGATGAATGAACAATTCAGTTGTTTCCCCACCCAAAAAGTCTGTCCCATCTTTTAGTTTTATTGAGGAAAAACAGTGAAATATGTTGGAAATAATGATAAATATATTCATGGCACTCTACGGGTAGAGGATTTTATCGCCGCACATGTCGTAGGGAGGCAAAGGAGGAAGGCCACTCAGTCAGGATTGATGCGTGTTAGAGGGAGAACCAGTGACGGATCCCCAAAACAGCCCACAGAACTCCCTGCTCCTCTGGAGGGGGGCGGGGCATCGATCAGCTGACAACAGCACAAATATGTTTAACCAGCAAGAAAACGTTTCATCAACCTGGACAGACGGTCAAATGAAAGCTTGCTTTGATACTTTATTCTTTTGTGAGAACACACAGCACCACGAGGCTGGGAGTTAATCTGCCCCCCCCCGTCGAGTTGGTGGGACGCCAACCACACAACAGGTCACGAATCCAGAGGCTTAATTCCGATTCATTCACAACGTCCTAACGCAAACAGCATGATAATAAAAAAAAGAAGGAAACTAGAAAAGTGTCAATGTTGACAAACTGAAAAAATAAAGCAACATTCAGGTTCATAATGTGTAGCGGCTCTATTACGGCTGAAGTCAGAGTGTTTTGGATTACACTCTCTGGCTGGATGAAGACACATTGTCCACTTTTTTTTCATGCTGCTACGACTCATCGGCTCTGCTTCTCAAAGACCACAGAGTCAAGAATGCTATTTATTAGCGTCCCACCAACATCAAAGGGACGGGTGCTGGTCATCCTGTGAGTGTGGGACCATGCACCGATTCCAGGAAGAGGGAAAGCGGGAGACGACGGGAAATGACGCGGCCCGGGTTCAATCGCCACGGCGGGCTACAGGGTGGTCCGCCGCTGAGACGTCACCTGATGACAGATGATTCTCCATCTGACCCAGCGAGTGGGTTTAACTCGCCGGGTTCCACAGCTTCCACAGCCCTGTGTGACAGCTTAGAAAAGGCCAGACTGCCACCAGTGTGACAGTACAGAGTTCTTTAGTAAGTGTTTAATAATAAGTGTCTTTGCTCATCTTTAATACATACGCGCTGTCGGAGTGTCAGCTTCCTGTCACTAGCGGCGCGCCGGTAGATCGCAGTGCTCACGCAGTGCTCACGCAGGAAGTCAAACCGGCTCACGTCCAAAACCACTTTCAGAAACCTCACAGTCCCGTCCAAGGGAAAATCTCCATTCCTGACGCTTTAACATCTTTAACATTGGGCAGGTAGGAGGGGGGGCGGGGGGGGGGTAAAGGGGGGCTACACGAGCAAACAGGAAGTGAGAACTTCAGATGAGCGCCGGGGAAGTTGGCTTCCTGTCACCCCCCCTGAGATCCTCAGACTTGTCACTTTGACACGAGTACGACGACGCGTCATCAGCCGAAAACGTCGCGCAGGCATTTCCAGAAAAGTCAAACCACGCGCTGGCCGGTGTCAGCAGTGATGGACGTTCTCCAAAAAAAAAAAGTTACACGCGGGAATATTTGAGCCAGAATGAAAAGGACAAAAACAACTGTTCCCCCGTGAAACGGTCCCTAGACATTTTAGACTTCTGTGGGGTAAGATGAGCGATGCGCCACAGAGCTGACTAACGCAGGACACAATATTCATTTGACTTTTTTGACAGGGGCTCATTTTCGACTTTTCTGGGACAAAACATTTTTTTAGTCCAAATTTACAACTTCTTTACATATATCGGCATTTAAATCAGGAGAAAAAATGGGCTTTCCTTTTCAATAGTGTTGGTAAACATTTTTTCACGTCAAGAACGTCAAGCAAAACACTCGACTAGATCACGACTCTTTGCTGTCCTTGCTCCGAAAGGGTGGAACGAGCTCTCTGAAGACACCAGGACCGCAGAGAGCCTTCACATCTTCCGCCGCAAACTAAAGACACACCTCTTCAGACTTTACCTAAAAGACTAACAAATTGTAGCACTTAAATTGTACTTATAACGCTACTCATCTATAGCAAATTGTAAATTGGCTTATTTGAGGAAATTGCACTTTCTTGTTTCTTGTTCTTCTGAGTTTGTACCCTATGGTTGAATGCATTTTTGTCTTTTAAAACTTAATTATCCTCCTAAAAATTCATGAAAAAAGAAATTTCTAAGCGCATGGTTGCGCTTCTTCGTCACTTTTATGCGACTGCGGCTGGATCCTTATCCCCTCTTCACGGCGAACAAACAAAAAAAATCCCAGCGTGCTCACAGCGTCCGTTTCACCGGGAAGAGTCAAACTCCCCCACGCCCCCGCTGGGGGGCAGGTTTGTCAAACGGCTTCCCACAGAGCTACCAAGCTAGCCCGGAGCCCGGAGGGGGGCGAAGGCTGAGCGAGGGGCACGACAAGGTGTCATGGACGCCCAATAACATAGATCCAAATGTCAGTGGTGCAATAAGAGAATCACCAGCGCTTCCTGGAGGGAGGGGGCCACCTGCGGTGAGAGGAGAATGCACTCTGGAGGGAGCACCGGCCGCTTGTCGCTGGTCCACAATCGTCCAGCGGAAAGATAAAGAGAAATGATACCCATGGTTTTGTAATAAAAGCTTGGAGCTTAAAAGAGCAGATTTCTTCTCCTCCCATCGGGGCTACCGGCGCCTTTTGGGTTTCAAGTCTTCTATCGTGAAACCATTGCGGCGATACGAAGAATTCGTAAAAAAAAAAATATACCCAAAAAGATTAACGCTACTCTGGAAGTTAGGACTGTGCGAATTGTTTTTGTTTGGTCTATTCAATTTTCAAAAAAACTTTTTTGGCCCAAATAAACAGCGGTATCGGAAAGCTTCGGTTCGCTCGCAACAGCTGCCGAGGTTTCTCTAAAAACATTTGAAACCAAATATCTGTTTCACTTCAAGTCAACAAGAAGTGTCTGAACCCGCTGTGCTTTTGAAACACGCCGCCCCCCCTCCACAACCCCCTCACGAAGAAAGAAGCGTCAATAGAGCAAAACCCAACATGTATTGTCGAAGGTCAGGCGGTCGTTGTTCGCCTTGTGAAGTGTGTAGCGAGAGGACCCCGCCACCCCCCCTACGTGACCGTCGCGCTTCCTCCACTCCTGACTGAGCTGTTGGTGGTGTTGCAGCGCTGCCTTGGCCTGCCTCTCCAGGCTGCCCTCCTCCCACTGGCGCTCCTGGACCAGGCTGTCCTTCTACGCGCTGTGCTGCTGCTGGAGCCGCGTCCTCTCCTGCTCGTGCTGCTCGCGCTGCTCCGCCATCTGATTGGACAAGGAGGCAAAGAGGGACTCCATCAGCCAACACACACTCGGAGCGATGCCGTCGTCATGACGACTTGTCCATCCAACCTATCCGTTTTGTCCTACCCCTCAAACTCCCTCACCTCCACCTATAGAACAACCCTGCCGATTTGGGGCGAAATTGGTTGATAGGTGTGGGGGGGGGGAAGAAAACGAAATAACATTTTAAAAAAAAGTTTGTCTGATGCTTCACGTTGTCAGACACGAAGCGTTGTGTTTACATCCGTCTTGCTTCCTCCGCCCTCCCACCTCTACTGACAATTGTACAGACCGGCCCTCAATGTCCCGCTCCTCTCTCTTAAAATCTGCCCCCCCCCACCCTATTCTGCCATCGGCTTAGAAAAGAGCAGCTAGTTTGGACTCCGCATGCAAGCTGGTAGGAGGTAGCCATCTGGCTGCAGCAACCAGCCGATGCCCCATGCTATGCGCCTGACAGCATGCGAAAATCGGCTTAGGCGGCGACTATTATGATCATTATAAACCCAAATCAGAAAAAAGAAAAGAAAAAATAAAGTTAAAGTGTGAGGCAAGCAAAGCCAAAAAAACTTTAAAGAGAACTAAGATGCTTAAAGAGTCGTGATACTGCCTGTAATGGCAATGTTATAATTAAAGCAATTAAAGTCCATTATTGAATTATTAAATGGGATTAAGTTCAAGCAACAATTAACAGGCTTCAATCATCTGCTAATGAGGATTCGTGAACCAACCAGAAGGCTCGCGGTGTAAACACAGTGGACTTCGGTCTCATCGGAGTCTCACACGCACACTACAGTGGAGGAAAGCCTCACACTTTTGACGGGACACAAAGGGACACCATGTCTCGCGTTCTTAAATCGTCCCGGCAGCTGAAAGAGAGTCGGCGTTCCCGGCGGACAAACGCGCCGAGTCACCTGCTGCGAGGTGAGCCTCTGCCGCACAGTTCCGAGCCTTTCCCAGGCTCTGTTCCCTTCCCGCTTCCCCCATGGGAACCAGCAGACCCCCCCCCCCCACACACAACACACACACGCCATGCGGGACCCCAGTTTTGAAAGGACAGCAGCAGGGGCCCGGGAGGGGGGAGGGGGGGGCCCATTCGATTCCCCCGCTCCGAAGCTAATCCCCCTGCACATTGTGCTTGACGGCACCCTACCTGGGTGAGGATCCACCGCCACAGCGGCCTCTGCGTGCCGTAACCGGCGCCCCCTCCCCTCTATCTGAGCACGCTGCGTGCTATTCAGGGCCGGTGGTGAATGAGCGGCTATCTGCAGGAAGCCGGACCCCGTCCCGGGAGACAGGAGACGAAGGCCACAATGGATGCTTCATTTTTGGGAAGCCGGGGATTTAACCCCCTCAGGTTTTGACAGGAGCTTTGCCCCATCCTTCCTCTTCCCCCCCCACCGCCCACCCCACACCGCCCCTGATTGATCAATGGGAGGAATTAGAAGTGGATAAAAATGTATTTTATCTCGCCTCGGTTCATTGGTTTAAAGACTCACACAGAGACGCCCCTCAACGTAACTCACACGATGCAATTTTCTCAGAACAACCGGGAACAGCACAGAGGTCCGTTAGGGTGGGGGCCACGTCTCCCACCGGCGATGCCGATTGTTGTCCACGGTGCATTCCACAGGCTTCTCTTTCCATGACATCGTGGCTTACTGTTCGCTCCGGTTTGCCGGATCACAGGGCTTTTTTGGGGGGGGAGGGGGAGGTCTGGGGTGGAACGCGAAGAATTGGAAAGATAGATCCATTGTGGTAAAAAAAAGAAAAGAAAATCAGCTAAAGCAAAAAGACGGAGGAGAGATGACAGAGAGCGGACCCTGTGACATCACAGGGCGCCAGCGTGCAGCGGAGGATGCTGGGTGCTGCCATCCTTAAAGGGGCCGCCGTGGCGTTGGTGAGGGAAGACTGAGGCGCTCTGCGGCACAGCTTGGTGCCACGGATACGCAGTGGGGCACCGGGTGTTACTGCACAGCACGACACCCGCCAACGCCGCCCTGACATGGTTGTGAGAGAGCGTGTGTGTGTGTGTGTGTGTGGATCGCATTGAGACAAGACAGTGAGGTAATGGGCTTCTTTCAGGCCCCGGGGGACGGAGGGGGGTGGGGAGGAGAGCTGAACAGAAGCCCCGTCTGGTCTCAGCAGGGGAGGCCGGGGCTGGGGCGGGAAGGACGGGAGAGATGGAGGAAGGACGGCCCTCACGCTGAGAGATCTGAACCAAAGGCGGCCGGCGAGCGGCGCCCGGCTGGATGCATTCATCTCAGCCCGAGGTTTGTCCACATACTCTGTCACAGTCAAACGTCTCGAGCAGGACGGTTTAGGGTTTCCTTTTAACCCCAGACCAGCCGTTTGACCTCCCTACATCACTCCTGCGTCAATGGGGCGGAGCTCCGTAACGACTTACGGTGGCGTCCGGAAAACAAGTCCCTCATACATGGTTCCCTTTTGTTCACGTCTCATTGAAGTCGCCCTGGAGGGAACGCTCCTTTGTGAGCATCTGAATGGACAAACTTGACCCCCCGGCAATCTTGTGACACCGATCCTTCCTGGGCGAGCGCGTCCACACAAAGTACCCGTGCTCATGCTTCTGTGGGCGTGTCTGCGTAAACAAAGTTAAAGCACGCAACGATGCTCCCAATAACTAATTATAAATGGATAATCATGAGTGAGCGTGCAGATGAATGTCGTCGTTGTTTCCCTCCCCTCCCAGCTGCGTCGCTCACGGCACATCAACATCATCCCGGAGACGGGCCCTTTGGTCTCTATGTGTTTTTATCTTCAAGACAAAAGCCCGCCTGACGAGCTGCCCGCCCTGCGTAGCCGGTTTCAACTGTCAACCCGCCCGACGCGCACAGACACGCACGCACACACGCACACACACACACACACACACACACTGGGGGCGGCGGCAGACGATAATCGGCGCTTCACTTTCTCCTGAACTGCTTTGATTACTTTCCTGTTTTTCTACACAAGATGGAATTCATGACACCTCGGAGCGACACACTGGAGTTGCCACTCAAAACGCCGATGAATTCTCAGTTACCGGATCATTATGGAGGCATGAAAATGTCTTTTTGGATACGCGTACAATGGTTTCAAGCTTTAAGGAGGCATTCTCGCATTTCTATGACTACACACGCTTGCAGATGGAGCTAAAAAAAAAGAAGAGAAAAAAAAAGAAAGTAATTTCCCACTTTCTCTCGTTAAATTAGTTTTTGGTGAACACATCATAAATCCTATTTGAATCTTTTGAAAGTGTTTACATTTTATTCTAATTACAACCAGAAGTCATGGAGCAAATCAATCACCAGGTTCCTCCCCTCCTTGGAAATAACACCTGCCTTCTATCTTCATATGGCAAATCTTCAGCGAATTACACACGGTGCAGACTTCATCTGGCCTGGAGATGAGTGTTAGCATGCCGATTAACGGCCCGCTGGAAAACAATCATGCCAGGGATGCAGATGGGAAATAGACACGAGTCACTGCTGCAGTTTCTCAAATTCTTTCAAAGGAATAATCCAAGAATTTAACTCATCAAATGGTGCCATTATAAGCGGATACGCAGGGCTGAAAAACAACACACTCGATTATTTTGCCTGATGTACTTCTGATTAAATACCAGACTGTAAAGCTGTTTTAAGCTAACTTTTCTATCTTATATACGTTGTAATATGATTTTAGGCTTTTCACTAGCGAACAAAACACCTGTTGTATCGTTGCAAACAAGTTACACAAACAAAGCAGGACAACATGATCTTAAGTGGAAAGATAAATTTCAACTTTAGGTTGGAGTACAAATTCTGTCTAAAAATATCAATCAGATGGTTAAAAGTATACAGCTGGAGGGATGAAATAAAAAATCCCATTTGCTGAGGTTAACGGAGTTCTTCCAAATAAGAACTGACCATGAGACTGGCTGCCCCCGAAAATATCCATTTGTGTTTTAATTGAATCCGATTCCACACCAGAGATGACCTCTTATCAGCGGGCTGGAGTCGGATTAGAAGTGAAAAGGCTTTCTAGACTCCCAATCGAAGACGCGTGGTACACATGCTATGCAGACCGCGTCCGTTTTCAATTAGCAGTTCAATCTCAATCTAAAGCGTGTCCCTCATCATGAGATTTTACCCGGGCGGGGGAGCAGATGTGGAGGAGAACCGGAATGACTGTCGGGCCCCTCGGGCCGAGCGTCCGACGGCGATGGAGAAAAGATAAAAACCTGTGTGACGGGGACGACGAGGGGAGCGGGAGCGGCTTCATCGTGGGAGGAGAAGCGAAGTTCCGTACGAGCAGGTTTATGTTGACAAACACACGGCAGACAGATGGAGAGAAACGTCGAGGCTCGTACGGACCTGCTGCTCGTATTTCTGTCTGAGTGCCTCAAGCTGCTGGGAGAACTCTTTGGCCTGCTTCTCCCTCAGGGACTTGGAACGGATGAGGTCCTCCTCCACCTTCTCCATCTAGATGCACGGGGAGAATAGAGGCAGGAGAACACACAATAATTCAGCTTTTCATACACAGTTAAATGTTTGTGCTGATGCAATAAAACAATGAAATGGGATTTTTAATGATCTACATTTGGCAAAGAGGACTCAGGCAGAGCAGTGAAGGGCCCCAAAGGCAAAAAGAGGAATCCATGAAATTCTTCAAAAAATAAAAAATAAAAAATAAAAGAGCCCTGGGACAAACCAACCGTCCCACAAATATTAGGTGGACACTTTCCACCTAATATTTGTGCGGCCTTCAACTGGACCAGTGGTTCTCAAATGGGGCAAGGTGCAACCATTTGGTAAAATAAAAGGTGCTCAAGTGGGTATGTGAGTATAAATTAAAAAAATGAATGAGCATCCAGTCAAAAGTACCAGGATGGTTCTACCCAACCTGCCACATGCCACCTGTCAATCAAGAAGAGCTTGATCACAGGTGTGGCCTCGCTGGCATCAAGACTCCTCAAAGAGGAACAAGCTTCTCACCGAAATGTAAATGCAAAAGCACTCGGTTCAATGCAACGTAGACACTGATTGCACAGCGCTGTGGATTATATATTGTTTCCTGTTAATGAACAGCCATCTGATGCGTGTCATCTGATCTTAATGATATTACTATTACAGCACGTCTGTGTATTGAAAAATCAAATCAAACTATGACATTATAATAGGCTTCAATTATGAAAAATACTATTGTTACTGCTATTTATTCAAACCAGTGCTGCCTACCACTTTCATATTTGCTTTACAGGTGACAAAAGTGAGGAACTTACTGTAGGGACATTGTATCTTTGCTATGCTGTGTGTAAACGCTGAAAGTGTTGTGATTAATCTATTTAAAATGCTGAAGCCTCCTCTGAACTAAGCACGCAGATTTGATTCCGGGCAGTGCTTCTCCCCCCCACCCAATCCAGAACAGTCCTTTTAAGAGCACTCAGTAAAACTCAGTCTGCAGATAAAGAGAGGATGAAGAGATGGAGGGATGGAGGAAGGAAAAGAGTAAAGAAATTCTTCGGCGCCTTTAAAGCCTTCGCAGGATAAATGTAATGGAGCAAAGAAGGGTGGGAGGATGACAGGGATGCAGAAGAGACTGCTGCTCTCTCGGCTTTGATGTGGGCTGAGGATAAAGTCAAATCGGGATGCCAGGGGTGTGATGGGAGAGAGCATGGGATGGAAAAACGAGAACAGGAAAAGAGAGGAGGAGAAAGATGAGGGGAAAATCCCGCACTTCAGACATTTTCCGAGCACCGAGGGAGGATGATATCACTTCCCGCCCTGTTTAAAAAACAACAACAACATGCATTTGAGAAGCAGAAACAACCAAGGAAGGAGACCAAAGTTCCGTCTGTCAACAACACGTTGTAGTTAGAGTGCCATTTTCCATAAGATCTTGGCTCCAGAGTTGTCAATACGACAACGATTTTGGAATTCTCTCCAGTGGGAGGAAGAGGGTGGGAGGGGAGGGGGGGGGGGTCAAAGGTTGCCGTGTGTGCCCACAAAGCAATCAGGCACAATCGACGCCCACGCAAAGCGCTTTTCCTTCAGTAGGACTTGTGTGGACTCATTTTGCACAAAAACGTCACTAATCAGAGACGAAAACTCATCTCGGTGTGACCTCGTCAATACAACACACACACACACACACACACACACACGCACACACAGACGTGCGGAGGAATTCCAGCGCAGCCAGCGCGGCGCCCTGTTGCATCTGTGGTCAGGCTGTGTCTCTGCAACCGCAAAAATGTGTGTGTGTGTGTGTGCGCTGATTGTCTCGGTTACTGCTTGTCAAACAGCTCACTCTCTTTGTGGTGGAGCTGAAGCTGAAAGGGAGCCGGCTACAAGTGCATCTGTATTTGCCACTCAACAGGAAACCAAACATGTGCTAATGTGCGTTGTGATTAGAGGCCGATGGAAAGCATGCATACCTGTGATGGGAAACAGCTGTGCATGAGTACTACGCGTTGGCTAATATACTACCGATGCCTGTGTGTGTGTGTGTGTGTGTGTGTCAGACCTGGAGATTCATGTTCGCGTAGGTCTTCTCAGCGCTGAGCTCCACCTGCTTCTTGAACTGCTCCAGGGCCGCGTCCGCCTGCTGGAGCTGCTGCCGTTGGCTCTCTCTGGCCCGGTCCAGCTGGCTCTCCATCTCCCTTTGAACCACAAACACAGCCACAAAGAGAACGGATGAGGAAATCCATGAGCGCTATAACAAGGAAGCGGGGATTAATGGTTTTTTTTTAAATTTTTTTTAAACCAAAGTAAAAGAGAAGAGAGGAGTAGTTCAGTTTGTTACAAGCCGCCACCATATGTGTCGGCCATGGTGGCAAAAATGCCGTCCCGGGGACCCCGACTCTCATAGTAACCGTGCAAGTAAGCCAAGGACGGCAAATGTGGGGGTCACAGAGTCGCAGGAGGAGGAAGCGCGACATCACACACACACGGTAGTAACAAGCAGCAGACGGACAAAAAGAACGGAGCAAAGCAATGTTATTTTTTTGTACATTTTAAATGAATGTGAATTCACCTGCTTAAACATACAGTGAAACTGAGATCATATACTCATGTCCTGAGACTGAAATGTGTACCTCATAGTTAAATGAGTGTTAGTGTTGCAAAAAAAGATTTGAGGTGTGTGTTCTTGTGTGTGTGTGCGCGTCTCTCGGGCGCCCTTTGTAAGTTAACGCTCATTAAATGTTTAATTATTCCCCACAGACAGACCAGCGGGAAGGAGAATGGAGGTTTGGCCGGAGGGGGCGGGCTTTAAACCACAATTACAACATGCCCATGGCGGGCGGAGGAGGAGAAGGTGGAGGAGGACGGCACATATTCTCCACACATTTATCTCCATTTGACAACGCAGGATCGGCAAGTGTGTGTGTGTGTGTGTGTGTGTGTGTGTATGTGTGTGTCTTGTGTCTATGTTTTACAATTCATAAGGGGCACGGCTCATTAACACAGTGATGAAAGCATAGCGGGCAGTACTGAGAACACACGTGCACCATACAAAAACAAAACCGCATCAGCAGAAATAACAAGTCTTTGCCGGAGCGTACACACACACACACATTCTCAAATTATCAAGATAGAACATCAAACAAGCAGACAAAAAAAGAAGTCAGTGGAGAGGAACAGAAATATGAGAAAAAGCAAGAGAAGAAGCAGAGGACTGAGAAAGGAATGTGCAAGCTTTCTCTCCTCTTTATAGTCTTCTGTCGCTTTGTAATTTTGGTCTCTCTCATGTCGGACATCAAACGACAAAGAATCTTTTTTCTCTCTCTCTCTCACAATTTTGTGTACTCTGTAATTATTAATCAGTCTTGTTGCACGACTGCCTTCCGGGCTCAGACAGACACAAAAGGTTCGAAGGAGACTAAAGATGGAAAAAGACAGAGGAAGGGAGGAAAAGAGGATGTCACAGAAATAGCAAACTTAAAAAAAAAAAAAACTTCCAAGGCAGAGCCGAAATGAATGTGTGTGTATATACACACACTCACACACTCTTTGTGCGACTGACAACTCGAGGAAATAACTACGTCTAAGCTGGAGCTGGAGGAGCCTCAGATGACACGGAAAGGTTTTCTCCTCCCGACCCCAAGCCGGCAGGTGAAAACATGGCACCTTTCGGGCCCTCCCTATGAGAATAACTGCCTGCGTGGGCGTGGTCACAAGACAGAGGTAGACAGCGTGTCACCGTCAATAACAGAGCACTGACGGTGAGATGAGAGGACCGAGAAAAGGGAGAAAAAAAAAAAAGGAGTCAGGGAGGCCAGGCGGGCAGAAGCGGCGAGGGTAGAGGAAGGACAGGGGTGCCAGCGCCAGGGCGGCCCCCGTTGGCTTTAAATGGATCTCTGGTTGGAAAAGTGGAAGGAGACGAGGATCAAATTAAAGATGTGCCTTTCGCTAAAGAGGAAGTCCTCCCATCCCTCAATGCCCAAACGGCGGTTTAAAGTGGATGAAGGGAAGGAGGCGAGGAGAGAGGGAGAGAGAAGAGTGTTTGTGCTTCACGGGGTGAAGGAGCTTCCGCCACCCGGCCGCCTGGCAGGCGGGCAGGAGGGCTGCTGGGATGCCGGCGTTTGCCCCGGACTGCCCGAACCACACACTGCTGGATATAAGGAGACAAGGAACCTACTGTACATGGACATTTACATAAACGTACAGTATGTGCAAGAGTGCACATTAAAGTCAATGCACACAAAAGGCAACTGTAATTGCTGATGCAAACATTATTTTCACGCGAGTGGAGTATTTAAGAACGTTATGGGCTGTGATGTGGTTGGAGCAGCGGATGGAAAAGACTGACAAACAGACTTGAATGCACGCTTGCATGCGGATGACTCCCGCGTAGGAAGAGTGTGTGTGTGTGTGTGTGTGTGTGTGTGTGTGTGTGTGTGTGTGCACGTGGTGTGTGTGTGCGCGCATCTGCTTCTGTGAGCTCATCCAAACGGAATGATAACGAATCCACAGACACATCAAAGGGCCTGTGAAAAAAAAGAGAGAAAAAAAAAGGAGCACATAAAGGAGAGAAAATGCAAAACTGAAATATTCAGCGCCCTGTGAAGAAAAATAAAACACGCTTGGTTTTCATTCCCGGTGAAAGAGAAAAAGGGGGGGTGGGGAGAACAAAACCAACAAAAAAAAAGGCAGAAACAACAGACGAAGAATAAGAGACAGACCACAAATAAGCAAAGACACAAGAGTGAACAGCACAAGGACAAGATATTAAAGCCAGAGAGAGAATGAAATGTAGAAAACCGCTTCATGGCTGGAAAACAGCCTGCAAATGTGGCCTGTTTATGAACAGGATTTCATCTCAAGATATAAAAGCAAATCCGTCTCCCACACTGGCATCACGGCTTGCCAGTCATCAGTCACCAGCCTCTCTCAAAAACTAACATCACACAATTACTTATTCTTAGATAACTATTTATACCGTTCCTGTCGACTTACAGTGGAACAATGAACCAGTCAGAAACAGAAACCCTTAAGAAAACTCTTAAGATCACCAACACCACATTCCTGGTTCCATTTGGTCTATGTAATGTTTGTTTTTTTAACAATTTGTAAAAGATGGTCTTTTTATTTTTATTTTTTTTTACTATCTTGAGATAATTTCAAAAGAAATGCATAGCTTAGCTACATTTGAAAGGAAGGTTGGGTGTATTGGATCACGGATGCTGAAGCGGGAGGGGCTTAGCGCGGTGGCCATTCATCGACACACGCGATGACGCTGATGCTCTCCGCTGGCAACAGCACCAGGGGTGAGGGAGTGACTTTCCCTCCTGTTAGGGTGTCGAAGCCACCTAAACACCCTAATGAGTATGGGGAGATTTAACATTTAACATTTACATTTAGATTAACATTTATATTATTTTTTATAACAACTTTGTTACCGCCAAACATTATCCTTGGAAAAGTTATTGCATGAATGTACATCAATTTCTCTCTAAATGTTTGAAAAAGTGACATGTGAATATTGTCGTGCTTTTTCGTGTTGCATATGATAATGCTAAATGTAGCAAAACTGCGCAGGATTTTAGAACGTGCAACATATTACAAACGGCGCCCCATAAGTGAGCAGTGTGGGTGCATAAACACGTGGGCGAACAAAAAAAACAAAACATAGTGCATTTCTGTCTCACATTTTAAAACAGCTCAGTTCTGGTATTTGATATTTCTTTACTAGAGGGGGAGAGAGCTTACTCATGGTTTGGAACGTGCTTTTTCTTCCTTCCGCCGTGCATTTAGATGCTATTTGGATTCATGAATTATGCAGACGGCAGCACAACGCTAAATCAACTAGGCACGAGTCCCTGCAGTAAACATACTCTATTTGCATATCCCAAACATGGAAGCTCGTTATTGAGACAATGAAAGCCCTAAAGACAATCCCACCCGATTGAGTTGTTTCAGTGCATGAATTAACCGTAATAATACTGTCAGTGCGCGTTTGCAAGTAAGCTGGTTCCATGAAATAAACGTCATATTTGGTTAAGTGTGACAATCATGTTGAGATTGTGAGGAATTTAATGACGTTACATCATGATATGCAAATGTCCAAAACTCAATCAGGCGATCACATATTAAGGGATGCGAGACTGACGGGACAAATTAGAGCCGTCAGGGTAGCTAATAACTTATGTGCCTCATTATCTGTCCATTAAATTCAATATTAGCTAGGGTTGTCACAATACGAACATGATGACTTCAACACAATGCCTGCCATGAATACAATATACCACAAATACGATACGGTTATATTTACCTACTATAGTAATAAATAAAACATCTGATGTAACCTTTTTTAACCTGCTTGTTGCTGCCCAACTTTTTCAGCACTTAATAAATGGCATTAATATAAGGGATTAATATATTAAGATATCAATGAAAACCACATGGTGCCAACAGGGCATTTACATGGCTATGTAACGTAGCCAAAGTAGTTCCAGATATGTCCCTGCGCTGGGAAGCCCCGCCTCCTCGCAGTCAATGCATGCAGGCCGCATGCCGGGGAGCGGAGCAGTCCTCACGCGCTAGTTTAAAGACGTATCAATACAAAAAATATGCAAAATCCGTCAAAATCGTCTATTAACGTACGGGTACCGCAGAGGAAGCACCTTTTGTTGGGTTCAGGCAACAGAACCCGTCCTCCCCGTGTGAGCTTCTGCCGTCTTTGTACACATACACATTCATCTCTCGGGACATCAGCGATTCACTGCATGTTATCTTTTTGTTGCCGTAGCTACGAGTGCTGGATGCGAGCAGCCTCCATCAAAGCACAGAGAAGCACAAACTACGGTTAGTTCCTCTGCTCTCTCAGGATGCCATTACACCACTACTTCTGTGCACTAGAAACACCTTTTTGCCCAAAAAGGTCAAAGCTCTGCATTTACGTGTACATTCACACGTTGTCAGCTCCGTCGTATCGAACTGGCCCCTAACACACCTCCATACCCCCCCCAATCCCAGCGGTTGCCATGGGAGTAAATATCGAGCCCCGGTGAAGCTCTTCAATAGTCGGGATCCGTTCCTCCACCTGCTCCTCAACACTGACTCTGCTGCCACGGGTCCCTCTCAGGACAACCCGCACCCCTCCTTCCCTGCCGTCATGGGAGAGGAATGCGCAGAAAGATAAGACCACTTCAAAGACAGACAGACGGACGGACGGACCCACCCACGGATGGTTTTGCATGTGCACACACACAAACTAACATGAAAGCCCATGGTGGATTCATCCCACACCTTTGAGGGCCCGAGGTGGCCCTATCTCATGGCAGCATGTGGGAAGGCGTGTACACAAACACTACCAACGGCACCCGGGCCAGACCATTAAGAGCTGAAGAACCGTGACCCTTCGTCACCACAACGATTGTGTCAAGAGCCGATCCCTAAATCAAACAGCGACTTCCTTTCAGGCACCTTTACAAAAAAACAATACAACATTTAAACAATGGGAGAACTGCAGGGATTTTTAATTTGAGATCCTGACTGGAGGAGAGAGAGAGAGAGTTGTAAATGCGACACACAACGACTCGTCCCTTCCTATAAGGTGGAGGGGGGGCGGGGGGGGGCCACGCTCTCCGCTCAAAGTGAGTCAGAAGTGGCTGCTGAGACGCGGTCAGGGCACCTGGGCAGGCCTGTGGTTTTAATAGAGCCGGCTCGGGGGGCCAAGCAGTAGGAAGCGGGACCGGAACGGATGAAAAAATGTGTGCGATGGCGTCTTCGTTGGCAGGCTGTCATACCGCTCTGCTTTAAATATTCTGATGATTTCCCGATGTTTTTATACTTTGGATTTGGAGGTCATTGTTGAATAACGCAGGAAAGCTGTTCCTCAGATGAGCGCCCCCCCCCCTCCCCCTCCCTCTGTGGTGCATCTCTCCACCTCTATGCTAATGCCCTGAAATGATCTGAGGCTCATTGCAATGAAAGAAATGGGGAGAAACTTGTTCTCTTCGCAGCTTTGTTGTTGTTGCTATAGTAACACAGACATAGATCTGAAATTGAGACAGCGATGCTCATTTGCATGGCAGGACAGCGTGATGGAAATAAAGAGTGGGCGTAAACCGTGGAAAGGAAAGGGGTGTGGTTACAGCTCTATGTGCTGGACATAAACAACCATAACATAAACTAGCAGACACGTTCATCCTCAGTCCTATAAAGGACACGGCAAAACGGATTTTATAAAGCCGAGTTTGTGGGTCAACACTCATCATAACACAGCGCACATACCACGCAGTATCTGGAGGGCATGTCGAGCGGTACGACTCGTTTAATTTCATCACCCATCTTCACACAGACACACCCCTGCATGCGGCCTTTGAAGTTCCCCTGGATCCCCTCTAAAGGCCATCAGTGTTGTCACGACGACGGGCAGGTAGACATCAAACTGCTGATTGTGTGCGTGCGTGTGTGCGGCGTCTGAGTACTTAATTAGCCGAGAGCCCGACGGGCTACTTGCAGTGTTTAGCACTAAACGGGGGAATGGCTGTCTCGTTACTGATACCAACAACAAGGGATAATTCATGCACAAACGGATCTGCCTGCTGCGTTTAAGCTTGTCCTCTGTTGCCGAGCTGAGGATGACAAACGCAAACAATATGCAGGCACAACCATCAATGTCCCTTTGCCATCTTGATGCGGCAAACCGAATGCCACAAAATTGCAAAATGACTTTCCCCCATTGTTTCCCACAGACGGAAACCCAAAAAAGGGAGAGCAATGACAACCCCCGTCCTGCAGCTTCATGCACGAGCTCTCCTCGCTTTATAGAGGGACACTTTAAGTCTTTGGTTGACACGCAAAGTGTTTATTAGGGACCTGAGGAGGAAAAATAAGAATAAATACAGCCACGCTCAGCCGGTTACGGTTCGGACCCAGCGGCTCTGCGGCTGCTGTCGCACTGGGACAAAGAGGGGACAACTTCTCAAGGAGGCTGAAGGCACCGGGACCCACTCTGGCTGCGTATAACCGGGGGCCAGGAGTCGTGTTTGTTTGGCCAGTTCGTCAGGTGAACTGTAATCTGCTTGACACCCAGCACCAGGGCCCCGTACGGCACTGGTTGTTTCCTGTTAAAGTCTTTGATTGAGAGGACTTCTCTCTGCTGTTTTTTTTTTTAAGACCTTCAATTCATGCACACTGTTAGTAGGATCAAAGGCTCCAAATCACGAGACAAACAACTCTCCAATAAGTGAAGGCTCAAATGTTGTGTTAATGTTGGCTTGTATGTATGACCCGATACGTAACGGCCTGCTTGTTGCTTCATCGGTCACGGCAATAAATAAATAAATGCCGGATGAACGCTGAGACACGGGAAATACGCCACATCTATCTCACTTAAGTTCAGCTTTAACGGCGTTCACTGTGACCCTTGAACTCACCACCACAGCAATTACCACTTGTACCTGAGTGCATCTTCAAGTTTGGCCATCTTCCTCTTCCCTTCAGTTCTCTCTTTCTCTGCTTCATTTTGGATTTCCAAAACCTAAAGTGAGAGAGGGAGAGAGAGAGGTGGAGGTGGAGGTGAGTGCACATGCAGACACCATCAAACATCACTCAACAGAACTCCCGTGTCTGTGACCGTGTGCATCTGGCCTCGTCTCTTCTCTCCATCACCCCATCAAAAGTACCGTGTGAGCCCCTCAGAGGGGCCTCTCACTCTGGACCTGTGGCAGCCATATGGGCCCCGGTTACATCCAGATACTCTGGTCTGTGTCATGTGTCTCAGTCGGGGAGGGGGAATCTTTCCCGGCGGGAAAAAGCACCGACTGACGAAAAAAAACACACACGCAAAACTCCTGACGTTCTTTCAGAGAAGCCTAAATGAAATCCTCCCCGACCCTGAATTGCACAAAGGCCCGCTAAGTTCTTGCAGGTGTCTCAGCCAAGAGGGGCCCCCGTCTACTGGGGGTAACGGCCCTGCCGCAACTATGGCACTTTGAAGATGACCCAGGTGCAGCAGGTCTTTAAAAACTAAACTTTCACCTTACGTGAAGTCTGGCTCGGACCGGTCTGGTCTGGCTCAGGTTTCTAAGACCGGTCTCTTCGCTGGGCGGTTTACAGCTGCTCCGTGGCTTTGAAGACGGTCCCCCAAAAGTAAAAAGGCAATTAAGTGCAGGCCCAGCGAACACTGACAGTTACTTCAATGGGGGAAATGACTCCTTTGAACGCGCTTTTTTGGCTCTACAAAGTTTATTCCGATTTTCTTAGAACTTCTCAACTTTCGTCGCTTTAGAACTTTTATGCTAAATGATGCTTCTTGCCCCTTTCTTCTTTGCCCAGTCCTTCATCTACTCGTTAATCACTGCCCTGATTTTACGAGACCAGACATTAAAGCGGGGGGGGGACGAAAAAGGAACGCGCGACTACGGCCTTTGATCTCCACTTGACCGTAATAGCTGCGTCCAGGGCTGTTTCAACGCGACGACAGCGGATCGGTGGTCTTCCCCCTCCCCCCTCACGCTACCTTCTTCTCACAGTTGATCCGCACTTTGTCCGTTTCCTGCTGGAACTGCGTCTCTTGATCCTGGAAGGAAGCAGGTGAAAGATACACATTGAATGCCCTCGTGCTGCCACAGTTACAAATAGAGAAGGAGGTACGCATTAAAAACGTACCTTGACTTGTTGATGGCTTCGGCTTTGAGTGTCCGAGAGCTGCTGCTTGAGCGCCGCAACCGTTTTCTCCAAGTCGCCCATCACCTCGGAGGACTGGAGGAGAGGAACATGGAGGAAACTGATCAAAACCTCACCGGTACCAATGCATCTTTTGGAGAGAGAGAGAGAAAGAGCGGTCGAGACGGTCTAGGACCTTAGCAGCAGACAGATCGTGTTCCTGATGCAAGCGGCTCAGCTGGGTGTCATAATGGACTCGGAGCTCCTGCTCATGCTGCTCCTTCTCCTTCTGCAGGAGCGCGTTTCTGTGGGGGAGTGGGAGGGGGGGTCAGAGAGCAGGACCGTGTGGTTGGCACAAACGCTGACCCGTTCCCATCAACCCAGTTAAATAACGACAAGGTCCCCGTCCCTTCCCGTGCAGCTCCGTCTGAGCAGTTTTAAAGGATTTCTCAGGTTGATGTGTGATTTAAGACAAACACCGTTTGTTGGCCTCCTGCAGCTCGGTGCTGATGGACACGACGTGAGTCTCCAACTGGGCCTTCTCCTGAGCCATCCGTTGACGCAGCGCGTTGCCCTTCTCCACCTCCGCGGACTGCTGCTTCACCCGCAGCTGCAGCTCGCGCTCCGTCTGCTCCTGGACGGAGGAGAACACAAAACCAAACTTTGTCTGAGAATAGTCCGCAGGGGTTCAGAGGATCGCGTGAGGCGAGACCCAGACAGGTGCGGGGAGAGTGGCGACGTAGCCGACCGCCATCTCGGACTTCACCATCGAGTTATTCTCAGATATTTGGAATGAAAGACGTAGTGACACATTTAAGATATCAAATTTTTTGGTTATGATCCGAAACCAAAACATCTCGTTCGGACCGTCATAGTAATCATATGTGTTATGGCTGAGACCAGATCCCTCCAGCGGAGGGATTTAATCTCATTTAATCCCTCCAGCGGAGCCATAACATATATGATTACCAGCAGTCAGGTTGTTTCATTGGAAAAACGTGAAAAGCTCAAACAGGATTCAAATTTTCAATAAAGACAACCATCAAAGACCAGCCGACGTGCACAGGCTCCTTCCGATTTGATGTCCCCCCCCCTGCATACATGCGGTTGTCACAGCACGGAATGCCTGATAATGGGCGATGACGGGGGCCCGCTGATTAAAGATGGAGCGCGCCAGTCAATCTAGACGATGACAGCGGCCCAGGCGATGACAGGGGGCGGGAGGGGGGGGCGTGTTTTGGAGCAGAGTACGAGAGCGGCGCCCTGGCGGGACACCCGGTGAGTGACGTTTGTGTAAGCGAGCGGAGGGCTGCCGGGTTAAGGCAACGAAGAAGGAACAAGGGGGCCTGTGTTGTGCCGGGACGCGTGCTGACACACTCGGTGCGGAGAGGGCGCTTGTTCTCATCTCCTGCCAGAGCGCTGAGGCCCGACCCACCTGGGCACACCTGGATGCTCTCAGAGGGAGGGGAGATGGGGGGGGGGGAATCATGTCCCATAAATAGGTGTTTTAAGAAGAGGATTACAGGTGGTGAAGAGGAAGGCTTCATGAGGTACGTAACGAGCTCTGCTAAACCGTCAAGGGATC